CCCTGGGAATGGAGTGGCCATTCACCTAACCTTGATCGTAATGTGAATGTAAAACCAATTCATTGAAGTTTGTATCTTAGAAGAATTTCGGGGACGAAATTTCTTTAAGGGGGGAAGAAATGTAACACCCCAGAAACCGGTCTAGAAGTTAATCAATAATTAAATAAATAAGAATTATTTATTTATGATAATTTATTCTTTTAAAGAATTAAAAGATATTTTAGAGATTCTAACCGTCTCAATATAACGAAACTAATCTGATTATATTTCTAAAGATTTAAAGTAAAAGAGTGATCAGTACTAATTAATCAAAAGAGTTAAGATGGATCTGATGGGACGTATAAATGTTTGTCAATTGAATATAAAAGTTATATCGTTGGGTAATGATCGACGAATCGAATCCAACGACGTGAACAGATCTCAATTCAGAGCAAGTTGGCCCGAAAAGTGTGTTTTACTCAGACACGTTATTTTAAATTAAGGAGTACAAAACCCTAGGCATTTATATACCCTGTTTACGCGTCTCTGTTCCGGCTTCTTCTTCGATTGAGACCAGTGCCGCAGCAAACCTCATCCTTGGATCCACCAGCGATTGAGACCAGCGCCAACGCCGGGAGACAATTGCCCCCCCCAACCCAGCGATGACGGCGACTCAGGAACGACGGCGAGGCGACGACAGAGAACGACGGTCCTTAACCTCCCCTCTCCACCGGCAACGCGACCTCGCGATTGGACCCGAGCAGAAGCAGCGCCAGCGAGGGGTGCGTCAGCTGTGATGCAGCGACGACCGGTAACCCTTCACTTTTTTGGCGATTGCAATTTTGTTGATGACGTGGGGATCAGCAGCGAATTCCCGCGGTTAAACAGTGGCGGTGCTCCGGCGAGTGACCTCGAGTGACCGGCAAGTCTAGACCATGACCAATTGAGTTTTGGCAGCTAGCCGATCTGACTAGCGGGGCCAGTTTCGACGACCAGTTCGGGTGACCGGCTCCGAGTGACGTTTTCTACAATCGAATTGAACCAACGAGGTGACTACGTGGACATCTAACACTAGAATATGTATCTAGGTTTGAAATTCCGTTCATAATTGTTATCGTGGTTGATCTGTGTCATTTATCTGTATAATTGTTGATTGTGGTTTTGGGATATGTTGTTGTTAAACCAAAAACGGTAGTATGCATGAATTAGGCGTTGATTGATGAATTGATGTGCTTGATAACGTTTAGAATGTTACTACGAATATAATGGTGTTTGTTGATTATGAGATTGCTGTTGGTTTGATGCTGAAAAACGGAACAGGTATGAATACGGAATTGGTTGCATCAGACGGTAGGCGGTACCGCCAGGTCGGTACCGTGCTACCGTCACACGCTGTTTGGTTATATCTCCTCTGTCGGTAGCTGTGACCATTCGGTACATTGGTACCGGACGGACGGTAGGCCCTACCGCCGGGTCGGTAGTGGCTACCGTGACGGGCCTACCGGCTGGGTTCAGTTAGTGAGGACGGTACCCCGTACCGTGACAGGTACGGTCTGGTACCTGGTGCCGGGTCTGTCGATCTCTGTGTTCGTCAAGGATTGATTCTGAGACTTCGTGTGTTGCATGACGGTAAACATGGGTGTTTACATCCAGTGTTAGGCCGCTTGTTGATTATGTTGGATATCTTGTTAAATGCATTGTGGATTTATGAATGTTGTATTATGTATTGATTGATGATTATGGGATATATCACCTAGAAGAACTCTAGGAAATAACCTGAATGGATTAGTGGCAAGGTATGCCGTAAGTATAGTAAGCTAGAGCCATGTGGTACTTGCTAGGGCCAATGGCTGTTTGGGTAAAAACGTGTACACGGGGATCTAAGAACTGTCGTTCCGAAGGGGACAGGGATCTCACCCACCCAACGAGGAACTCCCGAGTTGGTTTGAGCTTGACCTTCGTTCCGAAGGGGAAGGTCATGACTCCATAGGCAAGTCGAATTCAGTTAAGCTTTAACCTAGCATAGGTTAAGAGCCAAGTACGATAAAGAAAGTAAAGTAAACTAAAAAGGAAAGTTCCTAATATATATATACCGATGCTATTTGTATCCTATGAACTGTTATGACATTGATTATGCATGTTATATCTTGGATGCCGTATGATTGTTGCCAAGCATGTTGTGTGCATGATATCATGTGATAATTGTGAATTAGTGGATTCGCCTATGTGTATGTTCGAACTGTTAGATATTTCTCACTTAGCTTCAATGCTGAGCGTGTAGCCCTTTTTCCTATTTGCTACACGTAGGTGGTTGGGGAAGATTGATTCTGGAATCCATCCCGGAGAGCAACATTACGGAGGAGATGTACGGATGCAGGGATTTAATGTTTGATTTAATTACAAGGCTTCCGCACTGTTTGTATAAACTCCGATATGTATTTAAATGATTTTTTATTGTTTGGGTTTTAAATTAAATGTTTAATTTATTGAAAAATATTGTATGTGGATACCAATTTAGTAGCAACCCGGTTTGCTAACCTATTTATTCGGGTCACGCGGGTTAGGGTTTTACAATGAATCCACATTTCCTTCAAGTCATCAATCATTGAGGCTACGAATACATCAATGTCATTACCTGGTTGTTTAGGCCTAGGTATTAACAACGATAACATGATGTACTTGCGCTTCATGCACAACTCCGGGGGAAGATTGTAAATGACAAGCAGTACCGGCCAAGTACTATGTTGCGTACTCAAGCTTCCAATTGGATTGATCCCGTTAGTACAAAATTCGAATTGAAGGTTTCTCCCCTCGTTCCCAAACTTAGGAAATGTGTAGTCAATCGTCTTCCACTGTATCAGTAGGATTACGCATGGTGCCATTATCTTTTCACTGCATTGTGTGCCACACTAGATTCTTTGCATCTTTTATCGAAGCAAATGGACGCTTGAACCTTGGTATTATTTGAAGGTACCACAAAACCTTAACCGGAGTCTTTTTGATACTTTTCAAACTGTCCTTGTTATGAAATTTTGATCGACTCCTTTTATCTTGTAGCAAAACACTTGGTACATTCGTCGAGATCCTAGAACTCATTTTGATATAAAATGCGATCATTAATGTAACACCCTAATTCGTCAGGGTCTACAGCCCCTTTTGGAATAAATTATTAACTTGGTAATCGTAAAAATTTAAAACATTTCAAACACTTTTATTTATCACAATAATATTTTTCATAACATAACAGTACGGAGTTTTCAATGTTGTGAAAGCTTAACAAATCACAATCACAAATCATAATTTCTTTATGTTCTTCAATTCAAAACCATCACATCCATCCCGACTATCTCGCCTCCGTCTACCTCCAGGATCACGTCACATCATTCTTACTATTTACCTACGTGTAGCAAAAAAATGTTGGAACACGGGTTTACGCCTATGTCGTACTAAACCGTGTTCGTTTTATGACAGGTTTTCATAATGCCAAACCACCGTGACAATAACAAGTTTAAAGTGAGCAAAACCAAGGCAAAGGAACATGGTATGATGATTTGAGAACCAAGAACCAAGAATAAAGAACGAAGACTTAGAATTGTATTGAGTCTAGGCTCATCTCATCAAAATACTTTTTGCATATTCAAAATGGTTTTCTTAAGTTTTAACATGCCTAAAAACACTTGGAGTTCGCCCAAACCATAAACCAAGCCATCCGGCGTTCGGGTTTCGGAAACCGGCGTTCGGCTTTCGGTTAATTAGCGTTGGTTTTTGGCGTCCGAACCAACCAAATGGTTTTCAACTTTTAACGATTGGTTTTTACTTCTGGGCATATTTAAATAGTTCTCCAACAAAAACGCTTCAAAAACCACCTTTCGTTTTTGGTCGTTTAGTGAAAACCATGCGAAATGGCGTAAACTTGGCTAGCCGTGGTTTTCAACTAAATGACGTGGTTTTCAAAATGTTTTACTTGATTTCTTAGCAAAATGCATTAAACAAACATTTTCAATACTTGGTTTTTATTTTGGAGAACTTACTTTTTTTGACATCGGCTAACGGCTAACTAAACCAACCATGGGTCTGGCTAAACCAGCCCAACAGCGATGTTGGTGCAACCAACAGCGCTGTCTGGCTTGAGTAGCTGAAAACCATGGTTTGGCGTTAAGTCTTCCAACAGTGATGTTGCATATTAGACATCGCTGTTGAGCTAAGGTTGGGTTTCCAGAAGCATCTGGATTAGCGATGTAGCCTTCCCTACAACGCTGTCCAACCTAAGCTAAAAATATAGTGCATTGGCAGAAAGTTTTTGGACAGCGATGTTGACCCAGCAACAGCGCTGTCAGGACAAAACTCCACCTTCAAAGTCAGACCTAAACAGCGATGTTCAAGTATTGAAAATTAATGTAGGGACCTGACCGTTGGAAGGGATTTAAGGCTAAAACATTCCTTGTTTGGAAGTCAACAGCCAAAACAGCGATGTAGGAGTATTGGACATCGTTGTTGGCATGACCGTTGCTTCCCTATTTTCAAAATGCAAGCCTAGAACAGAGATGTCCAAGCCTAGGACAACGCTGTCTGAGTGAATTTCAGCAGATCCAAATTTAATCAAATCCCACAAATTGTGCCAATCACCCCTTAAATGCTTTGATCCGTTGGAGCCTATTTTTCCACTATAAAATGGGGTGTTTGGGTCTGTTTTATACATCACATTACTTCACAACTCCTATTCTTTCATTGCAAATCATTCATACATTATTCATAGCTTTTTGAGAGCCATTTTTGTGAAGCTTGTGTTGTTTTTTTGAGCGTTCTTAGTTACTCATTATCCACTCTAAAAGAGAGTACTCTTCTTGAGTGTTTTTAGTGTTCTTAGACACTTGACAAGAGAATGTTTTTCTCTTGTTGTTCGAAGGAAGGGTTGTTTCCTTCGAAGGTTCGTTGAGGTTCGTGTGACTCGAACTCTCAAGTTGTACGGGTTTGTTAAGCACCGTTAGGCTTAACGAGATAGTATTGTAGCTCGAGAGAGTCTCTCGGGAGGCTGGATTAGCCACAAGTTGTGGTGAACCAGGGTAGAATTGGTGTGCCTTTTACTCTTCTCTTTACTTCTCGTTTATTTATTATTTATTCCTGCGATTTCTTGATCAAACGCTATTCTCCCCCCTATAGCGTTGGTCTATTATTCTAACAATTGGTATCAGAGCCTAACTCGCGTCCAAACTTAACCGTTTGAGAAGCGATCATGGGTTCTTCTTCTAGAAATCTCTATGTAGGAATTGGAGAAGGTCAATCAACTTCTAGACCACCACTCTTTGACGGCACCAACTATTCTTATGGGAAGGAACGGATGAGAATCTATATCCGTTCCACCAACTTCCAATTATGGTTGGTCATCAAAAACGGAGAGGAAATCCCGATGAAGAAAGTTGACGACAAGTTGATCCCCAAGACCGAAGATGAGTTTGATGCCGAGGACATCAAGAATATTGATAATTATGCAAAGGCCATCAATATACTATATTGTGCGGTCAACCCCGATGACTACCGGAAAATCTCCTGCTGCACAACCGCCAAGGAGATGTGGGACAAGCTTGAAGTGACGTACGAAGGTACTGATCAAGTTCGTGAAGCCAAGATCGATTTTCTCACTCAAGAGTACAAAATGTTCCGAATGAAAGAAGGTGAGAAAATCGATGACATGTTCGACCGGTTCTCAAAAATCATCAACGACCTTCATGCTCTCAAAAAGTCTTACGCCAACAAGGATCTCGTGAGGAAAATCCTGCAGAGTCTCACACCCGAATGGAGGTCAAAAGCCGATGTAATCTACGAGTCCATCGGAGTCTCCAATGTCACCATCGACGGGCTAAGAGGTAACCTCAAAACTTATGAATCTACTATTCTAACCCCGTCTTTGGATGAACAAAAGAAGAAAGGAATAGCGCTCAAAGCAACCAAGGAGACCGTAGAGGAGGTTTCAAGCAATGATGACAACGAATTTGGACTTGTCATCAAGAAGTTCCACAAGTTCATGAAGAAGGAATTTGAGCGGAAGGGAAGGAAGCACGACGGTCCTCCCAAGGGCTACGGCTGCGGCGAGATTGGCCACATCAAGTCAAGCTGTCCAAAAGCGAAACACGGCAAAGATAAGCCCGGCTTCAAGAAGCAAAGGGCTTACATCTCTTGGGGTGGCGATTCCGGCGACGAATCAACCGACCAAGAGGAGGACGAAGCTGCAAATCTCTGCCTCATGTCGCACGAAGATCAAAACGACGACGTCCAAGAGGTATGTACCATTTCTTCCGACTCCTATACTTTTGAAGAAATGCAAGAAGCACTTCATGAACTTTATGAGGAATTTGTTAGCGCTTCTAAAGCAAATAAATCTTTGAAGAAACGTCTTTCCTCACTTGAAAACGATTTTGAAAAATTGGAAAAAGAAAATGAAATACTTAAACAAGAAAACAAGTTTTTTGGAAAAAGAAGCACTGACAAACCAAAAAGCTCATCAAGTGAATGTGGGTCTTGTAAAACTTTAAAAGAGCAAGTCGCTAAACTTGAGAGCACGGTCAAGAAATTTAATACTCCTCACAAAGACTTAAATTTACTTCTTGACACTATGCATTTTTCTAAGGAAGGAATAGGTTTTGATAAAAATAAAGCTAAAGATAATGTTGAGCCACCACCTAGACAATCATCTAAGGTTCAACATAAGAAACCTAGAAATCAAGATAATAGAAAACCTAGTCAACCTAAGGACACTAGACAACCTAGACTAAAACCTAGGAACGAAAATGGTCATGGTAGACAACCTAAGAAAAATGATTTTGTGCATAAAAACGAATTTTCTCAAATTAGAAGAAATAATGCTAGAGCACCTAGAAAAGGCCAGTTTCAAAACTTTCAAAAACCATTGTTTTCACAAAATAGGAACAAAATGGTCAAACCCTCTAACTATTATGAACCTAGGCACATGTACAACCCGAACGTAGTTTGCCATTATTGTAATAGGATAGGCCATATTGCTCCCGTTTGTTACACTAGGCATAGGCACCTATCACAAAATCAAGCACACTACCATCACACACCTAACACCCAAGGACCCAACGTAAATTGGGTACCTAAAACTCATTGATGTGTTTTCATAGGTGTGCTTGAAGGCATCAAGTGTACTTTGGTACCTTGATAGCGGATGCTCCAAGCACATGACCGGGGATGCATGCAAGTTTCTCCAAATCAAACCCGCTAAAGGAGGAAACATAGTTTTTGGAGATAAAAGCAAGGGAAAAATTATCGGCATTGGTTCGGTAGGTAAATCTGAAAACTCCTCTATAGATAATGTCTTGCTTGTTAATGGTCTCAAACGCAATCTCTTGAGCATAAGTCAATTATGTGACAAGGGAAACCGTGTGACCTTCGATTCAAAATCATGCACGGTAGAACGCCTTAGTGACAATAAGGTCATTCTACGTGGTGATAGAATGGATAACATATATATGGTTAATTTAGACAAATCTCCTTCCGAATTTGCTAAGTGCCTCATGAGTAAAGAGGAAGACACTTGGTTATGGCACCGAAGGGTAGCTCATATGAACATGAACCTTTTGAACAAATTGGTTTCACAAGACTTAGTAATTGGCATTCCAAAACTTAAGTTTGAAAAAGACGCCATATGTGATGCATGTCAAAAAGGGAAGCAAGTTCGGGCATCGTTTAAGTCTAAGAACGTTGTTTCAACGTCTAGATCGCTTCAACTATTGCACATGGATCTTTTTGGTCCTTCTAGAACGAAAAGTTTTGGTGGCAATTACTTTGCGTTTGTGATTGTCGATGACTACTCTAGGTTTACATGGACCTTGTTTCTAACTCATAAAAGTGAGGCATTCCACGTTTTCAAAAATTTTCTAAAGAAAGTTCAAAATGAAAAAGACACAACCATAGTAGCCATAAGAAGCGACCATGGGGGAGAGTTCGAATGAAATCTATTTTCAGATTTGTGTGACGAATTTGGCATTGATCATAACTTCTCAGCCCCACGTACACCACAACAAAATGGAGTGGTGGAACGTAAAAATAGATATCTCGAAGAGATAGCCAGAACTATGATCAATGAGGCAAAAATTCCTAAGTATTTTTGGGCGGATGCCGTGAGTACCGCGAGCTACGTGTTAAACCGAGCCGTCATTCGACCGATACTCATGAAAACGCCCTATGAATTATACAAAGGAAGAAAGCCAAACCTTTCCCATCTTCGAGTCTTTGGTTGCAAATGTTTTATTCATAATAACGGCAAAGATAACTTGGGAAAATTTGATGCCAAGTCAGACGAAGGGATTTTTCTTGGTTATTCTCTACGTAGCAAGGCCTATAGAGTTTTTTATAAACGCACTTTGACTTTTGAGAAATCCCCTCATGTTGTATTTTCCGAAGATAATGCTCGCTTGGCGAGAAAGGCTATTTGTGATGATCTTGTAGATTCACTCGAAAGATTACACGTTGAAGACGAGGAAGAAGACACGCCATTATACACCAACCCGCAACCACAACCTGAGGAAACACCTCAAGTGATGGTCGAAAATGAGGACCAAGCGGACGAAGAAGAACAAGAGGAAGCCCAGGAACAAGAGGAAACCGAGCTTCCCATCGCTTGGAGAACGCACAAGAACCATCCACTTGACCAGGTAATCGGCTGCATCAACCGCGGGGTAAGTACTCGTAATTCTCTTAGGGACACCGTAGGTCACATGGCTTTTGTTTCTCAAATTGAACCTACAACCATTTCCGAAGCAATAAATGATGAACATTGGACCTTGGCTATGCAAGAGGAGCCAAACCAATTCAAACGGAATGACGTTTGGCTATGCAAGAGGAGCCGATTTTGAAGAAACCTATGCACCCGTAGCACGTTTTGTAACACCCCGGCCCCCACCCTAGCCGTAAGTGTCTACTCATAGGATTGTAGACTGGCCCCCACAAACCAACACAAGTCTTTCCCGCACACTTTGTCCTCACTCATGCGCGCCCAAGTAAAACTTCCCAGGGGGTCACTCATCCTAAAATTGCTCCAGGTCAAGCACGCTTAACTTTGGAGTTTTTAGGTGATGAGCTCTCGAAAAGAAGATGCACCTTGTTGGTATGAGTAGTACTATCAATCCTTTTGAGCTCTTCCCATTCGCATCTTGATACGGGGTATTACACGTTTAGAAGCTATTCGTTTACTTCTTGCTTTTGCTTCGTCTATGGATTTTAAACTTTATCAAATGGATGTTAAGAGTGCCTTTCTTAGTGGTTTTATTCAAGAGGAAGTGTATGTTGACCAACCCCCGGGGTTTGAAGACTTTGAGTTTCCCGATCATGTCTTCAAACTCAAGAAAGCGCTCTACGGTCTTAAACAAGCACCCCGTGCTTGGTACGAACATTTGAGTAAATTTCTTTTGGATAGTGGTTTCCAAAGGGGAAAGGTAGACACCACACTTTTTATCAAGAGTAAAAACAATAACATCCTTTTGGTTCAAGTTTATGTAGACGATATTATATTCGGTGCTACTAATGAGTCTTTGTGCAAGGAATTCTCAACCCTAATGACTAGCGAATTTGAAATGTCAATGATGGGCGAGCTCACATTCTTTTTGGGACTCCAAGCCAAGCAAATGAAAGATGGCACATTCATTTGCCAAGCTAAGTATTGCAAGGAGCTCCTAAATAGATTTGAAATGGACAACGCCAAAGCCATGGCGACCCCAATGAGCACGTCTGACCATCTTGACAAAGACGAGAAAGGTATGGAAGTAGAAGTCAAAAAGTATCGAGGTATGATCGGATCCCTTCTCTATCTTACCGCTAGTAGGCCGGATATCATGTTTAGCGTATGCCTTTGCGCAAGGTATCAATCGTGTCCGAAGGAATCACACTTAACGGAGGTAAAACGGATCATGAAATACCTTTCCGGCACGGTTAACGTTGGACTGTGGTATCCAAAAGGCTCTTCTTGTCATCTCGTTGGCTATTCCGACTCGGACTTTGCCGGTTGCAAATTGGACCGTAAAAGTACAAGTGGGACTTGCCACTTACTTGGTAGCTCTTTAGTTTCATGGTTTAGCAAGAAACAAGTCAGTGTTGCGTTATCCACAACCGAAGCAGAATATGTAGCCGCCGGTAGTTTTTGTGCTCAAATCCTTTGGATGAAGCAACAACTCGCGGACTATGGCCTTAGTATCAATCACGTCCCTCTTTGTTGTGATAATACTAGCGCCATAAGCTTGACGAAGAACCCCGTTCTTCACTCAAGGACAAAACACATTGACATTAGGCATCATTTCATTAGAGATCATGTTCTCAAAGGTGATGTCGAAATTGAGTTTGTTGAAACACACAACCAATTAGCCGACATTTTCACAAAACCTTTAGAGAAAGAGTCGTTCTTCCGCATTCGAAGTGAACTCGGAATCCTTGGCTCCACGATGATCTAAGTTGTGCATCTAAACTTATTAAACGTTTACTAACTTGAGCGTCGGAGAATTTTTTCTTTTTCTTGCAGGTACCCGTTCATGAAATCAGGGGGAACCATGCAAACAGCGCTGTCCAGGAGACCCAACAACGCTGTTGAGAGAAACACCGTCAACCAGAAAGTTTGCCAACAGCGTTGTACTACAGGCCAACATCGCTGTTACAGAGAGTCCCTTTCACCTTTGCTTTCCAGAAACTTTTTGAACATCGATGCCCCTTTTTCAACATAGCTGTTTTCCAAAACACCTTGTTTTTTCAAACAAACACAGAAAGTTTTCCAACAGCGCTGTCCACCATTGAAACAGCGTTGTCCATTTGTTTTACAAATTTTTTTTATCGTATAACAGCGATGTAGGGAAACCCAACAGCGCTGTTCTAAAAATAGATGAGTCGGTCTTAATCTTAACAAGACCAATATTGACTTCGTAACTTGGCTCTCAAAGTTAAAATCATTTAAATTCTTTTTATAAATCATTAAAACTATTTTCATAAAAATTATATAAGCCAAAAACACTTGGTGTTCATTCAAACCAAAAACTACGATGTTTGGCACTCGGCTTTCAGAACCGGCGTTCAGCTTTCGGCTATCGGCGTTAGCTCTTGGCGTCCAAACCAAGCAAGTGGTTTTTAATCTTTTATGATTATTTTTTACTTTTGGGCACATTTAAATAGTCTCTAACAAAAACATGTTAAAAACCATCTTTCGTTTTTGGTCTTTTGGCAAAAGCCATGTGAAATGGCTTAAACTTAGCTATCCATGATTTTTACCTTAATGACGTGGTTTTTAATATATTACACTTGGTTTCTTATAAAAAACATTAAATAAGTGCTTCTAACACATAGTTTTCAAATGGGAGAACTTTGATTTTTTAAATCAGCTTTCGTCGTTGACTTGCTAGCCAGGGTTTTGGCGAACCAGCCCAAGAGCGATGTTGGACATGCAACATTGATGTTGAGGTTGAACCTAAAAACCATGGTTTGGTAGAATGGTCCCCAAAAGCGATGCTGGAAGTGGATTATAGTTGTTACGCCTAAAAGTGAAAATTCCAGAGCTGGCCTCAACAGCAATGTAGGAAACTCTACATCGATGTTGCAACCTTAATCATAAAATCTGCCTTTGGCAAAATGCATTCAGCAGCGATGTT